TGGATTTAAAAATTTCCAGGAAGGTACTAAGAATTCTGCTCATGATTATCACAGGGGGAAGCTTCCATCTGTTCTCTGCAATAGTTTAACTTACTTTCTGTTGTTCTATATTTCTTAATCAGGACTTCACAGTTTATGCATAAAATAAAATATTTTCCTCATTTCCCCATTTTATTAAAATACTACATTTATTTGAAGGATGAGTATCTTGCTCTATTGTTTACAGCACAATTTTAAGGTGGAGAAAATATTTTGTCACAAAGATAGATTTCATGACATCTCTATGACTATGTAAATATTTATATATCTTTTGAAATGTCATGATTGATTGATTTTGTATTGTTACAATTTTCATTATAATTTCTCTGACTCTCTGAAAAATCTTCCCCAAACCCTATTTTTCTGTCCACTGCTGCTCTCTGTCCCTGAGAATCCCTTTCATGTAATGCATAGCTTCATCATTCCCTAGGATTTCAACATGAAGCATATCTATAAACCAATGTGAGTGATTTTCAAGGTGAATAGGATTTAAAAATAGTTCAAGAAGAAGAAATCCAAAACCCTTTTGAAAATGGCAATAGCACTAGAACAAACATATAACTTTTTCTGCTGAATCGTTTGACTATCTCAGTGTTGTAATATTTATTTACAAAAGCATTTACTCTGTTTATCATCTTATTTCATACTGGATATTAATAAGCTATCTAGTGTCTTCTCTTTGAAACAAAACAGTTTCTAACTTTAATATTCATCTAAAAACTTTCATAAAAAGGGGAGATTTTACCCATTTCATTCTTGTATCTAAATATGGAAGACATAAAGGTGATTATAAGATTTTTTTTAATTAGGAAATTTCTTATGTCTTTTTTTTTAAACACCTGGGACCAACAATTCATGATTTTAAGTTACTATTTGGAACTTTAGAGACTTTTCTGCTGCTCCCCCCCCCCCCAAAAAAAAGGAAAAAAGCCAACAAAATCCACTTGAGTACCTGCTTAACTTCTATGTGAATAGCAATTCTTTATAACAGTTCTTTTCTCATGGACTTCTGTAATTTTCCATCACAAATTAGTATTCAAGCTCCTTTCAAGCAGACACATCTTTCATGTGCTCTAAATATAGGGTTGACCTTGGGATGAGGGTGGAAACAGCCCAAATAACACTGTACTTTCACATTTTCTGTTCCACACATTTTTTTTTTTTTTTGAGAACATGAGGTTTAAAGAAATCAACCTTGAAGGAGAGAATGAGGAAGTCCCAGAGGAACCACACCCAGTCTGGGCCAAGGGTGTGCATAGATGGTAAGCCAGTCCTACCTGCCTGTCCTGATGACCAAGGGAATGGCAGTAGGTTGGGTTCACTGTGTATGTAGGTAAGAATACCCCCTACCCTCCAAGTGTACTGAGGACAGTGAGTCCTTATAGAGCTCTGAGGCAGGTAGTATTATTATCCCCATATTTTACAGATGAGAAAACTGTATTTCAGGTCTATTTTAGTGCCAGTTGGGAAGTTGGATAACTGCCTGAGTGAGTCATGGTCCAGATGCTCAATCCTGTGAGCTCAAGGGGCCAAGACAATTATCCAATGTTTTTGGCACTCTTCACTTGAACTGTGCCCAACACACACCCTGATTATTTGATAATATATGCTTAAAAAATAATTCCATGTTGCACTGATTATCATCCACATATATTTGTTATTGAATATTTCTTTTTAGCATTTGAATCATCAACTCCCACTTCAGTGCTGAATTTCACTTTGGCCTTTTGTGCCAAATTAAGGAAGCATTGGCACGGATATTGGAAGTGGGCAGTTCTCCCACCCAGCAGGACCATGATCCTCACACAAAATAGTCAAACACTAAAATTTCCTGTCACCTAATCTTTTAAAATTTAAGCTAGAATTAAGGAAGGGGACCACTAGGGGTAATGTATATCTTATCACAGGCTCAGAACCAGAAATAACAAATCAGTGGCCAGCGACCATTTTTGCTTGATTCCATGGTTTGTTGGCTTGTTCTTTTAAAATTTGAGCCAAGATTTAATAATCAGAAGTGTCCACATAAAAATATGGATTTTCAGTTTTTCTTGACAAATCAGAAGATCTAGCAATGACTGGCTCTGTATTTCCTCAAAGTATCAATTGGCTGTAAGTGAATCCAGCTGCCTGATTTAGCTAGCCAAGCGCTCTCCAGAGCGCCATCATTCATGCAGTACATGCACACATATGTACACCCAGCCCACTTCAGGTGATCTGGCAGGTCTTAGTGGTAGTTCAAGTTTATGATTCTTCATCCAAACAATCAGACTAGCACATGAAGTATGGTTACAAGAAAGACTATATGCACTCACCTTGAAGACTTTTTAAGCAAAAATGTTAAATTTGTCATTTAAAAACAACATCGAATTATCAAGGAATACAATCATTAGACATTAATATGGAGATCAAAGTAATTTAAAAATGACCAAATTTTTATAAGTTGATACATTTTATTTATTTATATATTTATTTATTTTTAGTTGTAGTTGGGCACAGTAACTTTATTTTATTTATTTATTTTATGTGGTGCAGAGGATTGAACCTAGTACCTTGCATGTGCTAGGTGAGTGCTCTACCATTGAGCCACAACCCCAGCACCCCCGATAAATTTTTTTATTAATGCTTAACTACTTTAACTTGTTCTGACTCTATTCTCGTCCTCTGCTGGCAATAGAAATTTGTATATTTATTCTGAGTCCACATCCTGGAGGAGACAAGGCTTTTTACCTCCTGTGCTATATATTTAGTTTCCTCAAACAAATTTGGCATCTGCTAGTAGCTGCAGGTAAAAGCAAAAATTGTAGAGTTGCTCCAAGGAGCTTGCTTAGACACTGTTTCTCAACTTCTTACCTATTTCATTTTCTCCCTAACAGGTGGAAGAAACTGTTGGAGGGGACAAGAAAGAGAGCACACTCTTCTTGTTTGTCTTCTCTTCACTCTTCTCTGAATTCCCACACAATCAGAAGCAAGCAGAGAGAGCAAGTGATGGTCTCTAAGACCTTGGCAGTGAGGATATTTCTCTTGCCAGAATCCTAACCTATCCTTGATGTTCAGGGTCAAACAAATCACTGTTTTCATAAAGAAGTCACTGTTGCTCTGTAGAAATAGTTTGAGTTGGAAGACAGCTCTAACTTTGGATCAGAAAAGTTCAGTTCGAGTTGCTACTTTGTTATTTATTAAGTGTCCTAGGACAAATAATTTACTGTTGTTTATATGCCAAAGTTTTCTCAGCTATAAAAAGTATTAAAACAATACTTTGCCCCTTACTACTTCCCCATGCAAACAGTTATGTTATTATAAATGAAATAATACATATGAAGAACAAAAAGTGCTGAATTTGGAAAAAGCCTCAAAGGAAAGCTGATCCGGGATAGTCATTTCTCTAATCCTGGAGATTAGTAATTAGGATGCACGGGAATAAAATCTTTATCCTCAGTCTCCTAGTGAAAGAATTTTAGGCAATGATTAATGATTTCTTAAAATTCTGCTGATTATCTGGTTTGAAGGGTGTAAACTGAATGCACCAGACCATAGGACTACCTATCATGTGAAAAACCTTCATTGATTAGTCATTGAACCTGCAAACTGAACCTTAGAAATATACTTTATAGGTACGATGTCTACCAACTCTACCATAACCAAACTTAAATTTGGGTGTTATAAAATAAGAGAGAATGATTTTGGATTATAAAAAAAATAGATAATCAGTCTTTCAGATTCAGAATGTTTTTTAATTAAAACTTACTGCCTGCCCCCATATAGCTTTTCTTGCATTGTGTTTAATATGCCATCATAAATTTAGGGATTTCAGAACAAAAACATGCCAAAACACATTTTGTTGCTTTGCTGGAAAGAAGTGATTATCCCTCTCAGCCTTTTCCTCTTAAAAATGAGACTGAAATATGCCATCTCATAATAGGGTGAAATATGGTGATGCGTCACAAACAAATCCTGTTGGCAAAGGCTGGTATCCAGAAGTTATTGCTGAGATATTTAATCTTGATTTTTAGAATCTAGGAAGATTGCCAGCTTCTGGGAAAATACACAAATTTAAACGGAGAAAATTCTATTCTCTTTGGAATTCAAATCATTTTGGAAATTCATAGTATAAAAAACCTTTCATATCAGTGAGAAATCAAAATGAGACAGGTGAACCAATATGATGCAGAATTTAGCTGTATCTCTTCAAGTCCTCTTTCCCCTCTCTGGAGAAAGGAGAAAATCCACTTGCCCCTAGGCTTTCTTGTGGGATGTTCACTGTTACTGAATCTTTTCTGCCTGTCTTAGAACAACTTCCCAAGGGATCACTCCCAAGGGAGTGATAAAGGTAACTGACCTGATTTCCTTTGTGGAATCTCATAGGGAAAGCTTTATCTGCCCCTAAAACCAGGCATCTTTTTCCAATTTGCAAAAAGACACAACATAGGATATATGTATTCCTGGATCCAATGGCGTGCTTTTAAAGTTAAAAAATTTTAAAAGAGAGTGGAGGTTGATGAAGCTGATATTCCACACTCAATAAATTTTTTAATATGTACAGAATTCAAGAGTACTTTTCCAAGACTTCCAAGTGTACATTTTGTGTTTTATAATAAGATATATCAACATGTTTTAACATGAAGCTAAAATTCTTCATCTTCTTTAAGAGTTCAATATTTGAGATATGTTAAATAAAATACTATGTCTAATTCACCTTTGTATTATAAAGTTTTAAGAATCATTTTTTATTAGGACTATTATCATATTAAATGAGAAAAACTCCCAATTCCAGTGTAATTCATAGTCACTTATTGTTTGAATAAAATTATTTTCATTTACTTTATTTCAAATTTCAAAATTTGTGGTTCTATATAAAATGAGAGAATGTGGTCTAATCTTTTCAAATACAAAGTGCTGATGTGGAGTTTAAAGTCCACTTTATTTTTATCCAGGTACAATTTCCTGTGAAGCACCTGAAAGCTTTCCTCATGCCAAAAGAAAGCAACTTGTGTGCTCATGTTCATAAAAACTGTACTGTGAACTTAAAACACAAAACAAACCATTGTGTGGTATGTATTTTATTGAACCTAGAATCTGATAGTTTTCTGGCAAGCCAACCTAAGATATAGTATTTTTGTGAGACCTTAACTGTCAAGATTTATTGAGTGTTCATTAGGCAAAGCATAATGAAACTGAGCAGATACAAAAGATAATATTTCTTGCTTCAGAAGGATGAGGTTATTTTGACCTTGAAATATTTCTTTTTAGAAAACTTGTACCAATGACAATATGAGTAGAATATGGGCAAGGTTGTGTAGGTCATTTCTTCTGCTTTGATGTCTCATGTTGGCACCCAATCTTCTTCCAGTTCCTTCTTTTATTATGATCATATCAAAATCAGTTGCTTATAATCTATTTTAACTGCTGTTATAATATATTTAAACTGATCTAGAGTCCAGTTGCCAAAGTGACAGATAGCTAATCTGGTAAACTAATTCATGCTATGGTATGTTGTGGCTTTAGCCTTTTAGGTAATTCATTGCATTTTAACTTTTTAAATACAACATTTTAATAATAGAAATGAGTCTTGTAGTGGAGATTTCCACATATGCCATGGGTCTTTTGGTGTCCTTCAAATATATCATTTGAAGGTCTGCCAACATTGTCTTCCTAAAGAATAGGAAGAAATGAAACAGACCAAGTCTTTGCATTGCCTGGAGTATCTCCTAATAGTATGCTTGCCCAAACCCACCAGAATAAGATAAGTTCTACTATATCTTTGTAGAGCCTTCTCTTCCAACAAACCCAGTCCAGGTTCCCCTTACTCCTATTGGGGCAAAATACATTTCTCAAAAAAAGGGGATATAAGTGACTGTAGGGTTGGACAGTTCTTTGTTTTTTTGAAATGATATTATACATAGCAAGAAATTTTAGCATCTCTTGTCTCACCCTTTGAATTCCAGTAGCATTTCCCATCCTCAACCCACCTGCTCAGTTCCTATGCTGTCACTATGCTTCCCATGCATTTCCAAATGAGTGCAACAATTCTGCTGAGAACTATTGACTTTTTAAAAAAAAAATATGTTTTAGTTGTAGGTGTACACAATACTTTATTTTTATGTGGTGCTGAGGATTGAACCCATGCCAGCTAAGTGAATGCTCTCCCACTGAGCCACAACCCCAACCCCTATTAGCCAACCTTTTTAAAGCCAGTTAGAGCCTCTTCTGTGGGAAGTTCAGTATGCCCATTGCCCTGCATTCAAAGGAGTTGCATGGCCTTAGACCTCTAGTGACCATATCTTGGTTTAGGAACACAGTGCATGTGTGGAAGAAGGCAGACATGAACTTCCTCCCTCAGCATTCTCATACTAGTTCCAGCCCACTATCTCATCATGAGTCAGAAATCCAGACTAAAATAATGGAAAGTTTTTCTGAAAATAAAGCCTTTTTGGGGGGATGGCAGCTTAATAGAGAAATAGTTTGGCAATTTGACATTGATCTTTCTAATATTGTGACAGCAGCCCTAAAGGAAACCCTTCCTTTTGGAAGGTAGTACAACTTCAGAATTTCATCTGAATAAAGTTGGAATCACAGTCTGTCTCATGAGCAAAAGATCATTTTTATAAGAATAATATATAAGGAATATTGGGATGAGTACTATGTTTCATATCCCATGATAAAATTTTAAGATATTTATTTTTTAAAAATTAGTTGTTTGCCATAGTTTTTTTTTTTTTTTAACAAAACAACTTGAATTAATTTTACTAATTTTCACAATCCTGGTATTGAATGCTTTTAAGATACTGGTGATAATAAGGACTACATATCATCATAAGAGAATGCATGGTTAGTTTATGGTGAATAAATCAAAGTTTCAGGAGCCATAAACAGTTTCATTGGGGGAGTAAAGTCCTTTTGTTTTCTTTTAGATAAGATAAATGTGTAGAAGTCTCATGAATGCCAGCAGTACCATTTTATTAAATAATGCTCAAAGAGTACAATTATCAAGAAAATCATATGGAGAATAATTTTTAAAACAATTTATTTAAAAATTAAGTGTACAATATCTACGGAAGCTTTGAGTGGATTAAAGGTCAGGGCAGAGCTTTGAGAGTATCAATATATTTTTGGCAGCATTACTAGTTTATTCCCCAAATAAAGATTAAAATTGGCATCCATCTTAAACATTGGACATTTGGTACATAATGATGCTGATCTGGTAGACTGCAGGTCGATAAATTGTTAGTTGTGTTGATAAGAAAGTCAATTATATTTCTTCCTTAATGAACCATGTGCTGGTTAGATGCCAATTTAGGGAAATAAACTCACTCTACTGTGAGTTCCTGAATGTACAGACTATTTAGCTATTTCTCTCTCTATCTCCAGATTTTGAGCTCAGTGACTAACACATAGAAGGCTCTTGAAGTGGTGGATAAGTTGAAAAGCATTCATTTATTTCTTCTAATGCCATAGCCACGTTCCTTAGTGATTCTCCCTCTGAGCCATATTAAACACAACAAACTCTGGTTACTAGTAATAACTTGTGATCATTATCAATTTATAGTATGCCAGGCATATGATGGCCATTATTTCATTTAATTATTAAATCAAGTCATGCCATAAACATTATTGTCAACATTTTTGGGTAAAGAAACTGAGTCTTAAAGGGGTCAGTAGCATAGTACTAAAATATAAACCCAGATCTCTAAGACCTGAGTCTATGTACTGAGGACCTATTTTGAGTAAAGATGGGATAGAGACTTCCATAAGATAAGCCTCTGCCCTCTGATGAGGAAGAGAGCTGTGCAAATAGGTCATTTTGTTCACTTTTAAATGGACCGTGATAGGAAGAAAAATAACAAGGTAGAAACTAAGAGAACTTTAGAAGAGAGTAGGAATTATTTAAATTTAGATATTGCCAATCATATGATGATAGTGTAAGGGACCGGCGAACGACGGCGGAAGAGGCGGAAGAGACCACCAAGAGACCGACTCATGCAACAGCAAAAGGGGGTTTATTGAGGATCCAGCGCGCTGGGGCTCCGGGCTCACTCAAGAAGGGAGAGCGGCCAAGAGCCCCCAGCAGGGGTTAAGCAGTGCTTAAGTACACTTTTTGGGGAGGGCTGGGGCTTTGCATACATCAGAGCAAATCATCATGAGGCGCGGGAAAATCAAACAACAACTCTCAAACATGATTAGCACATTCATTGGCGGGAACAGGTCACAACAACTCTCAAACATGATTAGCACATTCATTGGCGGGAACAGGTTGGGCGGGGGTGATAGGTCAGTCCTAAAGCAGGGTATACATTCAAACTGATTGGTTTAGGCCCTGAGGTGCCTACGTGCTGAACTGCACTGGGTCCAAGTTGTTAAACAACTAAGTGGTCAGGGGGGATTATCTAATGGGCAGTCCCGGGAATTGTCCTAACAGCTACAGGAATTTCAGGCTTTGAGTGTAGCTTAGAAACTTAACAATACCTGGTCCTTTACATTTTAACACAGGCTTTGCAGCTTAGAGACTTTACCCTTTCAATAGGAGAATGACAGGATTTGTACAGTGGTCTCTCTGATTCCCAAAGGCAGGAAAGGTGAAAAAAACCATCCCATCTAGGGACTCTGAACTGCTCATGACTGGTTAGCTGTTCAGTGGGCCAGGAACTCACATTGAACAGTGCTGCTGAGGCCCCACTGTGTCTACCTCAAACATCCCAAATACAATTCCTGTGGGACAGGAGTGCTTCACACACCACTCCCACCCACTTGGGACTTGGAAAGAGTCTCCTGTTATTCCTGAGAGCCACTGAGGGTACCTCCCATGAGGAGACAAATCCAGTCTTTCTTTTACTTGGATTCCCTTTGGCCAATGTCCACTGCATTGGAAGCTTCCCTATAGAAGCTTCTGCCCCTACTGTGAAGGGTAAGTCTGTTATTCATGCTGAAGATGTCCACTCCTAGTTCAGCCAAAGCTGCCATTTCCCTCAGAGCTTCACAAGGCAAGAGGCTCCCCTCTGCAATCCATTTGAGTCCCAGAGCCCTCTGCTTTCACCCAGCATCTCACATTAGACTTCCCTTCTCCACTCCATCACCTTTAAGCAAAAACTTGTCCCAACAGTAATGAGAAATAGCAGTTCTCAGGTGTGTTCTATCTCCTGTTTTATATATGTGTGTATATATATGTTTTGAGGGCCAAGCTGAGTCGGGATGACTCATGGCATATTGCCAAAAGGGAGTGGTTGAGAGGTGATGCCAGTGAGCCATTGAGATGATGATGGTTATGTTAAGCTGTGTATTCAATTGTATATTTGACCTTTTCTGCCGGCAATAGGGTGGCTCGACCGCTACTTTGGAGTTCCCATGGAGTTCTCGGAGTGTGCGCACACACGGAGCCTGAAGCCCGGAGCCCTGGGGAATGGGAAAGAGTTCCCGGGAGCGTGTGGAGTGCTGGTGGAATTCGGCAATAAAGAGTTGCTGTTTTGAACCTACAAGTGCTTCGTGGCTGCTCGGTTATTTGTGCCCAGCCAGACTGCGGCATATATATACACACTTGGTGATAGAAGTCTGGCTTAGAACCATCCAATCAGCCATTTTTATTACCAGACTGGAGCAGCCCTTGTTTAGGTTAATGGTGCTTCTCTCACATTTGTATAACTAAAAGAATCCATTCTGGAGGATTTCCCCCCTAAAACAAAGAAACAGTTTAGGTTTAAAAAAAAATATTCGCTTGTAGTGAGCAAAAGCGGGAAATTTTCACAAGATGTAAAGTTCTACCTCAATCAAGACACCCTGTTATATAGGTGAAAAATCCAGACTTGAATGTTAGGTTTGTCCATTTAAAACCTCATAGGTAGCAGCAGAGCCAAAATCAGAATCTAGGTTTTCTGATCCCCAGTCTAAAGCTCTTTCTTGGGGGAGAGGAGGGAGAAGGAGGTCAGGAGAGGTGTAGTTTGATATTTTTTCCCCTGTAGAAGAAAGAAGAATGGGCTTCTCTGTCCTGCCTTGGTTAGTTTTTGGTCATTTTGTAGGTATGTGTCGTTTCTGGCTCTTGCATTTCCAACACAGCCGACTCTTGTGCAGTGAGCTCAGCGTCTCCGTGGTTTTCTGGAATGCTCACCATGAACTCTTTCACAGGGAGAGCTTCACAGGCTGCCTAAACATTGCACAACCCTCTTCATTCTAAAACTATGCTGTCTGCTTGGTTCAAATGGTTAAGTTTCTACTAAGACTCCCTTTATTGTAGCTTAAATTATATCTGAATCCCTTTCACTTTTTCCTTTTTAAATTCCTATGTTCTGGACCATCTTTCTACTTTCATGTTTTTAATCTTTGAACCAACCATGCTCCCCATGGCCTAGAATTATTTATTTATGTTTCCAAATAAATGAGTTTCTCCAGATTTTCATTAATGTTCAGGCCTTTTCCCCTAGTGTGGTTGCCTAGATATACTGCCAGAGGGTCTGAAACATAATTTCTCCAGGACCAAGTGCAGTATTAATATTCTGCTCGTTTTCCTTCTCCCTGGTCCAGGGAGGGGCTTCTTTTTCCTCATTTTCATCAGGAAGCAGAAACCTATGCCTCTGCCAACTTCAGTAATACTCTTGGCCGATTTGAATGTGATGTGGAAAAAAACTGTCGGGGGCAGGTTTGTAGCAGCTGTTTTACCACATTCCTGTAAAAATGCCTGCAAGCATAGACTGATCTTCCGAAGACATAAGAAGGCCTTCTCCTGCCCTGGTCAATATGGGGAGGGGTTCTGTCTACTCACTGCCCTGCTGGTCCCTGGTAGAAGGCAGAGTCTCAGACAGTAGTAGGTATAAGAAACACCTGGGTATGCAGTCTTGTATTGCACCCCCAGGCCTGAGAATTCTGTCTATTTAAGGTAAAGTCCAGGGACCCTTCAGGAGCAATCCAGGTAATTCTTATAATGCAGGCTGTTGGCAGAATACCCTTTGAGAAACACTGATTAGGACTTGAAAAATTAAGTTTATTGCACATATATATGTATAAATGATATGTGTGTGTGTGTGTATGTATATATATATATATATATATATATATCTCACATCTATTCAAAATCATGGCTGATGCCAGTTTTGAGGAATGTTGCAGAGGAGATTGACAAGTAAATGAGGAAGTGGAACAGACCAGATCTCTCCTTCCCACTTTACTATTCTATGATCCTGTACTTTTTTAGATTATATATTGTACATCTAGATCCAAGGATTTTAAAAGGGCTTTCTTGGTATCTTTCTCTCCCTACTAAAGACCCTACAAGATGAAGGGTTATGCTAAAATTTATAAAAGGTGGGTGTTGAAGCTTTGGTAGCTTCCTGGATTCTTTGCTGACTAAATAAAACTGTAGTATATACAGTCTAATTTCTCCTCCTCATCACCTTCTGGGCATAGTTTGCTTGATTTTACAAGATTAGGATGGAACTGGGTCATTTCTATGAATTGCAGAAGAAGAGAATCCCAGGTGAGTCTTAGAAATGAAAGGGGGATCTGGACCATCCGCACAGGGTAGGACTCACCTATAATGTAGAGCTGGTAGATCTTATGTGGTTTGTGCTACAGACAAGGACACTTCTACATGGTGATGAAGTCCCCAACTCTGTTCTTAAGACAAACTTAAAAAGCCTGGAAGATGGTTTCTTAGATTCACAGTTATCATGTTTAAAGTATTTCCATAAAATTCTCAGAAATCTGTTTTTAATGTAGAGGGAAAAAATTGCCAGAGAAAGTGGAAGCAGGAGGTGGTGGGGAGAGGGAAGAATGCAGATGAACTAGGGGAGTATAAAAATAGGTATTTGGCACTGTGACTGTTCTTATTCTGTTTATCTTATTTAGGAGGCAAGATATACAATAGAATTCTGGAGAAAAAGACCTGATCATATGGCAATCTTGACTAACAGAAGGATAGAAATTCTGAATAAACATAAAGCACAACAGGCCACCGACAAAGCAGATGCCACTTTGTTCTCAAAATTTTGAATATACTTTTTTGTTTTGCCATGCCCCCCATCCCCATGTTAGGGATGGAACCCAGGGCTTTGCACACGCCAGGCAAGCATTCTACTACTGAGCTACATTTCCAGCTTTACATTTAAACACATATGAACTCTCTCCAAGAACTCTCCTACCAGTAACTTTACACATGCAAGTAGAAATTATGGATTTCTGAACAGAGATATTCTAAAAGAGAAGGAGAGACCCAACTGAGTAGAGGAAACTTCAAGAAAAAATTGAAGCCAGACAGCAAGGAAGGCTCAAAGTGGACCAGAAACTCTCAATCTAGGTAGTTCACAAAAGTAGAGAACCTAGAGGGGTGCACCTAGCATAGTGCCTGGCATGTAAAGACTTCCATAAATATTCATAGAAGGAAGCAGGAAAGACAGAGCTTCCTAGTAAAAGCTCCCTAAATAGTTAAGAGGGGGCTACAGAGTGATCACTGTGGCAACTGACAAATGAGAGCAAACCTAGCCTCCCCACAGAAAAGAACATTCATACTTCCTTTCAGAGACCAATGCAGATGTACCACCAGGAGAGGAAACTAAAGTTGGCAGTGTAGCCAATTGGAAAACAGTCCAAAGGCCTGCGTGACAGAATAGATGGGTGGTACAGGGATATGCCTGGAAGGAACGTTTCTGCTGAGAGTCCAGGAGACTAAATGCTCCCAGGCTCTGCTTGTGTTTTACTTCTTCTGTTCATAGTATGTTCCCTCATTCATTTCCCCTTTTTCAAATCTTTCTATGTAAACTTGAGTTTTGCTCCTGACCTATCTGGGTATACTGACATGCAGCGGATCAGAGAAGTGGATTACAGAGAGCCTAGAAAAGGGATGGGATACAAAGGCATAGTCTTTTTTCCCCCCTCTTTTGCTTCTGGATGTTGGTTTAAGACACACCCTCCCTTCCCTACCACCATCAAACTTGTCAGATTGGCTGGGATAATGTTCACCAGTTTCTCATGTGGTGGGCAGAATTTTTGCTATATATATTCAGTTGAACTTTATTCGTCAGTAAATCTTGTGCTCTAGCAACAAACGTTTTCTGCCTGCCTTCTGTATGCCAGAGTGCAGCACTGAGAGATGCAGCCACTTATAAATTACAGCCCTGTGGGGAAGAAATAGTCACATGCTTGAAATAAAAGGACAGGGTGCTGTGAGAAAAGGTGACATTTAAGCTGAGACCTGAGAGTAATATTGTGTCAGAAGCAAAGAGGAAACATGAGTTTCAAGCACAACAAATGTCATATGTAGAAACAATGTCGTTTCTCCCAAAAGGACAATTAAGGAGGGCCTTAGAGGAGTAATTGGAGAAATGATGGGTTAAAAGCTGTTTTGCATAGCATTTTTATATAAGGTTTATCAAATATTAATCATTCATATCTAAGACAGGATGGGCTTGATGCATATTATAAGAGAGAAAGCCCTGCAAATCTTCTCTCTGCTACTGCCCTGCAGGAGCCATGAGACAGATTTGGCATATCTGAAGATCTGAGAGAAGTCATTTGTAGCTGAAGAACAGAATTCTGTGGGAAACTTGTTGAAGGTGGAAGCAAAATTTAGGCAGAGCCAGCAAGGCCTTGTAGGGAATATTATGAATTTTTAATTTTATCCTAAGTGTAATGGGAAGCCATTAAGGGTTTTAAGCTGAAGGGGAACATGATCCGATTTATGTGTAAGAAGGATCACTCTGGTTCCTGGATAGAGATGGATTGCAATGAACAAGGAGCTAACATCTGTTGCGTTTCTGGTTGTGCCTGTCTCTGAACATGGTATGAACACTGTACACGTATTACTTCATTTAATTCTCATGATAGCTCTGAGGAGTATGTACTATTATTTTCACTTTATAAGCAAGGAAACTGAGGCCTTTTGAGATGGTTATCCCTGAGTAACTCAAGGAGAAGCAAGAAAATGAGTGCAATTCCTTGTATTTATTGTGCAGTAAATGAGGGGACATACTGTAGACCTAGTAAAATCTCAGTGATAATTTGGTTGTAAAATTCTGTGGGTAGTAGATGTTCATATCCAGAATACAGTAATCAGGAAAGGGTTAATACATGTTTTTTTTTTCAGCAAGAAAGTTCATGATCCTGGCTGTTCATCTGAGAGGTCTGGATATAGCCACGTATGATTGAAGCTATTATGAGCTTTTGCTCTTAAAACCTCTCTTATCATTGTTGAAAGTGTGAAAGACCTATTTTCACAGTTTTGATCTTTTTGTCAGGTTGTTTTCCAGGAAATGGTTGCTAGGAGTGAAATAATTTTATTATTTAGAGATAAGTAAAGCCTAGATCCCAGTCTCCTTAAAAAGTAGAGAGAGAGAGAGAGAGAGAGAGAGGGAGAGCGAGCGAGCGAAACCCCAGCCTTCTAGTAATTGACTTGTAAACTATTTTTGCCACACTGTTGGTGCCAGTCCACCTGCTTTCTGTTTACTTGAGGTTATCTCTTTTCTCTAATGACTCTCTGAAAGCACACACT